TGCTTGAAGGTCATTATTGTTTGTGGTTAAGAGGCCTATAAATTATAAAAACATCAAAATTTGGTTGTTAGCTTTCAGAAAAACTAAACGAATAGGGGCCCAAAGAGAACGGCTAATAATTAAATGAGAATGACCATTGTTAAGCTGTTGCTGTATTGAAAATATGGCAAAAATTCTTAATTTTTTATGAATATCGAAATTTGCTCGATGCGTGATTCTTCGATAATATCAATAACAAGATATATTAATACTGCGAGCTTAGTAATATTTTAATTTTTTTTTTTTTTTTTATATTTCAATATTATATAAACAAATTAAATACTTGTAGATCAGATATACATTATTATAAATACATTAATTTAGCACCTTTCTAAACCAGTTCTATATAATGAAAACTTGGTTATTATCTCTTATGTGTAGTCGTTAATCGTTAACTTAATATAAGTCATAGGTATAACAGAAAATGATATTGTAATATTATGATATTTACGTCAATAAAATATCATACTTATAATACAAGTTGTTTATAATAATCAATTGCTATATAGTATCTGAGCTACTTGCTTGCTTTTCTAAATTAAACACGATATTAATAAAATACTTTGGAAATGAGTCTTGAGACTCAGCTCAGTTTCCTATTATATAAATAAAATATGCTTAGCTTTTATTAAAAACCAGCGACTGAGTACTTGCATCAAAGTAATGTGAGTGATTCATCAAGTGACAGATTCCACGGTCAAGATGCAGGAAAAAATATATGTATATATACTGTAGCTGAATCATAGGTGATAGTCTAAGCAATATGTTTCACATGCAAATATTAAATTTGCGTATATATCGTGTATATATGTATATATATTACACTTGATAATATTTTAAATGTGCAGCCGTTTTCGCTCATTAGCAAATCGTTCATTTGTACTCAGTTGAAGCAAAAATATTATGTGGCAAAAGCTTTCGAGCGAGCTTCTGACATAACATTGCTCTTGTTTATTTTGAATTGCATTTTGAGCTATAAAACTGCTGCACAAATAATTAAATTTCCGACATTAGTATATATAAATATACATATATATAACAAGGCGCTTGGCTGCTCAAACATTTTAATCTATGTAGTTGCTCTGACGGTCATTAAGTATACGACCCATTTAACGTTAACAGCTCCCATTCATATTGACCCATATTATTGGGGGTGTGGTGTGACTCGATTATGAGCACGGAGCACGGCAGGGAGCCAAACCACACTGTGTATTGCGTGGAGAGGTCAAGTCTGCAGGGAATCATTTGTTGCTGCTTGAATATGTTAGCCATTTTGAAATGAAATCATTGGGACATGCTTTGGGCATGTCAAGCTCTTGCAAAAATCTAACGAGCTGTATTCTAATTTGGTCGTTCTACAGCGGCCTATCCACCTATCAACTGTCAGAGACTGTCGGGTCATTGCCCAACGGCAAGAACTCCACCGTAAATCAGTCGGATCCTCTACTGCCAATGTCAGAGCCCACACAGAGCTACGATGAGCGCGAGTGCAGCTGTCCGCGCGAATATTATCAGAGAGCCGAGCTGAACACCTCACTCTTCTTTGCGGACTGCAAGCGCTCCATAGATTTCGTGCTGGCCTACAGGACCAATCCCAACGAGGCGACGGAGGCGGAAAATGAGGAAAAGCGACGCATCTTCCAGGAGAATCTGATACAACAAGGCCTTGAGGTGGAGCTCAGTCAAAAGGACCAAATTTACTTTGTCAAGGTGGAATGTCTAACAAATATATACTATAACTCTATATATGTATTTCTAATATCTATCGAATCATTTCAGATCCATGCACCACTGGAGGTGCTGCGTCGCTATGCGGAGATTCTCAAGCTGCGTATGCCCATGAAGGAGGTGTGTATGCATTTTCCTTGAACCACTAGTTTTTCAATGCACTCGAATGATACACGAAACATTTTATATTATTTTAGTCATTATGTAATTTGCGCGTTTATGAAAGATCAAATCGTCTACACAATGCGGCCCATTATTTGTCGAAGAAGGTCTGCAAAAAAGTTCAGGTCTTAATTAAATACAATTAACAATTATTGCAGATTAAGCGTCCTGCCATGCTGCTAAACTAAATAAGCCTCGATCTCTGAGTGTTTGCCGTATTTATGCTTGAGCTCTATAAACGCCCTACTTGATATCCAATTGCTAGTGTAAATCCACTCAATCTCAATCTCAACCTCTTAAGATGATCTTAATTTATGTTTTTTATAGAATTTCTATTAGTTTGGATCTAACTTAAACTTTTGTTGTAGTTTAGCTCTTATTTATTACTATTTTTGAAAGATCTGTATATATATAAATTTCTTTTCCGTTTTTGTGTTTTGTTATCCTACACTTTCTTCATGTAAACTGTAAAGTCTTTTGTTTTGAGTAACTAATTAATATATTAACATTCTTTCAGATACCTGGTTTGTCTGTGGTTAATCGTTCCTCGAAAAGTGTTTATTCTAGTCTCAAATCATCCTGCCACTCCATTTTGCGTCACATCTATGTGGACGAGCGTTACTTTCCAAAGCGTGCGCATCGCTTCACAGCCATCTACAGTCGTGATAAGGAATATCTGTGAGTCAGCATTGAGGTTAACTATGTAAACATAAGTCATCTATTTCTATATAGGTTCGATATACGTCAGGATTGCTTTTTTACAACGGCAGTGCGTTCACGTATTGTGGAATTCATTTTGGATCGACAGCGTTTTCCTGCCAAGCGTCAGAATGACATGGCCTTTGGCATTGAGCGTTTGGTGGCCGAGGGTGTTTACTGTGCGGCGTATCCACTGCATGATGTGAGTAGCTAGCATAATGCAAATAAAAATAGAATAAATACAGATATTTAACTGCACAGGGCGAAATTACGGAGGAAGGCACCATGCGGGAGCTGCTCTATACAAATTGGGCCTCGGTGAAAAAATGGTATCGCTATCAGCCCCTAGATGATATTAAAGAGTACTTTGGCGTCAAGATTGGCAAGTGTTGGGCATCCCTTTAATCAGACTCACTTACTCACAGTTTTCCCACTTTTCCAGGTCTCTACTTTGCCTGGCTGGGCTATTATACGTACATGCTGCTGTTAGCTTCCATTGTGGGCGTCGCGTGTTTCATTTACTCCTGGTTTTCCCTCGAGAACTATGTGCCCGTGTAAGTTAGCAATGTGGAGTGCGTTTACGCTATAGCTAAGCAACATCTATCATCGTTTTCAGCAAGGACATTTGCCTACGCTCAAACTCGAACTTCACAATGTGTCCGCTGTGCGATTGGTGTGAATTCTGGAATCTAAGCGAGACGTGCAATTATGCCAAAATTACATACCTCATAGACAACCCAAGCACAATATTCTTTGCCGTCTTTATGTCGTTTTGGGCGACGTTATTCTTGGAGCTCTGGAAACGCTATTCGGCTGAGATAACACATCGCTGGGATTTGACGGGCTTCGATGTGCACGAGGAGCATCCACGGCCGCAGTACTTGGCCCGCCTGGAGCACATTGAGCCCACGCGCACGGATTATGTGACCAATATAAAGGAGCCCACGGTGCCGTTTTGGCGCATGAAACTGCCAGCGACTGTCTTCAGCTTCTCCGTTGTGGTGCTGCTCATTGCCTTGGCTTTTGTGGCACTGGTTGCCGTCGTTGTGCATCGCATGTCCATGCTGGCAGCCCTAAAGGTGGATGGCAGTGGCATGACCACATCGAAAGCAATTGTTTTAGCCGCTGCATCGGCAGCATTTGTGAATCTCTGTTTGCTTTACATACTGAACTATGTAAGTAACTTGTCCCCCCGTAAAAATTTATTATATATTCATACAACTTCTCCTTTACCTAGTTATACAATCACTTGGCCGAGTATCTGACTGAGCTGGAAATGTGGCGCACTCAAACGCAATTCGACGATTCGCTGACACTCAAGATTTACCTGTTGCAGTTCGTGAACTACTACGCCTCGATATTTTATATAGCTTTCTTCAAGGGCAAATTCGTGGGGCATCCGGGAGAGTATATTACCGTCTTTAAATACCGTCAAGAGGAGGTGGGTTTTCATGGCATTTATGGTATAGCTAAATCTAATTTGTTTTCCTACTTTCAGTGCTCTTCGGGTGGCTGTCTGACGGAGCTTTGCATACAGCTGGCCATTATAATGATTGGCAAGCAGGCATTTAATACCATTTTGGAGGTTTACCTGCCGATGTTTTGGCGCAAGGTGCAAGCTATTCAAGTTGGCCTTTCACGTCTGTTTGGCAATTCGGTTAAGCCCGACAAGGCCAAGGACGAGCGCTGGATGCGAGACTTCAAGCTACTCGATTGGGGTGCACGCAGCTTGTTTCCCGAGTACTTGGAAATGGTTTTGCAATATGGTTTTGTCACCATCTTTGTGGCTGCCTTTCCGCTGGCGCCGTTCTTTGCGCTTCTCAACAACATACTCGAAATGCGTCTGGATGCCAAAAAGTTGCTGACCCACCACAAACGGCCCGTATCCCAACGTGTCCGAGATATTGGCGTTTGGTATCGCATTCTGGATTGCATTGGCAAACTGAGTGTCATTACGAATGTGAGTTGATTTCAATTTGTTTTGCGGCTAGCATTAACTAATTGAACTGCTTTTAGGGTTTTATTATTGCCTTCACTTCGGATATGATACCACGCTTGGTGTATCGCAGCCTAAAGTCCCCAGATGGAAGCCTAAATGGCTACTTGGACTTTACCTTGTCCGAGTTTCGAATATCCGACTCATCCAAGCTGCATAGCTTAGCTGGAGATTTTTCAAATATAACCACGTGCAAGTAAATACACTTAAGATTTGATATGGCTATTAGATTATATAATATCTGTTACTTTACTCTCAGATACACGGATTACCGAGAGCCGCCCACTTCGCCGAACAAATATCATTTGACGAGCACATTTTACATCATTCTAGCTTGTCGCCTGGGATTTGTTGTGGTGTTTGAAGTAAGTTTCGAGCAATTTGACTTTGCATTGTTCGTTTTATTTGTTTCATTACATAAATGCTTGTACATCAATTAAGCCAATAGCTTTGGTTAATGTTATCCAATTTAAATGAGATTTCCTTCTGGTCGTTCAGGTGTATATAGAATAGCAATTAATTACCCTTGACAAACTTTCAAACCTTGATATGCTGAAACATACCCGACGTTTCCACAATGCTTTCCTGCAGCGCACGATTCTCGTTCGTGGATGTCTTCAGCATGCGGTAGAGCGCATAGATGCCATAGGCAACAAGCGCGTTGAGCACTAGATAAATTCATATATATCAATTGTGAATAATAGTTAGAGTTGAGGGGCAAACTTACCTATGAAAACGCCAAAGAGCACACTTCGTGCTATGCGTCGATCTATCGAGGCGTCCGCTTCATCAATTTTGACCTCCAAGAATACGAAAATGGCCACCTCAATGACCATAGAGACGAATGCGTTGATCAGCCATGGGGCAATGCATATTAGTCGTCGCTAAATACATACTTATAGAGAGATATCATAGTGGGACGTACCAGTATATCTCACCTGTTTGATGCCATCGACTAGAATGCCAGCCACCACTAGATTTATCAATGCCTTTACCCAAACGGTTACAGTTAGTATCATATAGAAGGCCTGCGAGAACTCATGAACCAGCACATAGTCCACTGGAAAGTAGATGGGTTAGGTCTGTCTACTGCCGCTTCGATTCAATGTTTACCCAGTGTAGCGACAAATGCTCCGAATGGACTTAAGATCTGGACATCATTTTGCTGCCATTGCGTAAAGTCCATAAAGTCATTGTACAGATAGAAGCTGCTTAGGCCGAGGATGCACAGCGCAATCAGAGCATCCAAGCAGGCTATGCTCAGACCGAAAGTGCGCAGATTGAAACAGGCGAAACGTTTCATTATTTAAATTTGTAGTTTTTCGATTGCTTAGATATTATTTAAATTGTTTGCTAGTTATATATCTATACTATCCTTTATCTATTATAATTTTTTGTGAACGTGCGTGCGTTCGCTTCGAACTATTTGTCGCTACTAAATCAAATAATGTTGCCGTGCCTCACAAAATGAGGTCCAATTTTCGTTGAGCTGGCATTTTCCATTTTCACTTTTCACTCCTCAAGAAATTCTTATACATTGGTTGCACATGAACTAGATCTGCGAGTGGGCTTCTTCTGTGTCTCTTCATATTGGTCTTAATTGGTAGTCTGGTTTTTTTTTCCCCCTGCTTAAGCTATCTATCGAATTTGTTGACCCTATAAAGCAGTTGGCTCTCGCAGATAGATCAATGCAAAGTGTGTCCGCTGGCTGATGAGCTAAAAGAATTTAATTAACTAGACAGAAAACAAAGTTCTAAACGACAGCAGGCGCATTTTTAAGGTTTTGCTCTGTGCTAATGACCCCAATCAGGTGTTGGGGTGATGAAATATTGCACCAATACCAGTTGGAGAACTAAGGGTAAAATGCTCTTTAGCAATTAGTTGAATCCAAATGCTCTTTGAAGGTTGTGCAGACTGTCGAGTATTAAATAATACAAAATTGAATTTATTTTGAACAGAACTTTGTAGCTCTAGTGATGATACTGGTGCGCTGGTGTATACCGGACATGAGCGTGGAGCTGCGGGATCAAATCAGACGCGAGGTTTACATAACCAATGAGATAATCATCGATCAGGAAGCACAACGCGCACGTTTCGGTAATTGACACATACATATAAAATGAAAATGAAAATTATTGAGTAATTATTTGATTTTAGAACGTGCGAAACGTAACTACTCACTGGCAAGAGCTGCGAGTGTTCAAGAGGTGGATGCTGCCTCGATAGATGAACCCAATTCGAAGTTTATACAAATTGAAAAGCTACTCAACGCGAATCTCTCACAAATTGAAATGGACTCAATTATACATGGCGAGAATACGACCACAGGCATCTCTGGTGCAGACTGCTAGCGTCTATGCTCTCTTCTAACAATGCTCGGTGATGATATTTAGTTGTAATTTCTTAGTTCAGGCTATTTAGTTTAGGCCTCAAACTGTTGAATTCATTGTGTTATGCCAGTTCCTTGCAAGAAACTTAATTAGCTATACGAAGTGCTTTACATTTTTGATTTAACAATATGGTTTAAAGCTTTAATCACACAAATATTATCCCAGTTTTGTTGAATATTGTAGATGAAATTATTGGGCAGAACTGCAAAGACTTAGCACAAATCTAGTTAAAATATTGTTCTAGCTCATCAGTTGCCAAAGTGGGAGCTACCATAAAACTAATGAATATTTTTCATTTAAAAATATATGTATATAATATATTATAATTATACATAATGTCAGATCTTATGAATTAAATTCGATTTTCATATTATTTATTATTACATCTATACAAAGAAATCTCAGGCCTCTTCGAAAATCCATGAAATCTCACTCAAACATACACATATTTTACAATATATGTAAATATTTTAGATAAATTAATTATATATATGTCTATATATATATACATATATAGAAGGAATATTTATATTAACTGGGCAATGAATGTTTGTATATATTAGATCAACTTAAAATGAAATTCGAATGTCTTTTGAAATGCAACTGATGTTTATGGATTGTAAACTATACTTATATACTATTGATATAAATGTGCTTGTGTAAAGATTGAATATATGATGTGATTGATGTATTGGAATTTTATTATATATCTATTAAAGGATTTTACACTAGCTAAAACCCAATGAATGTTTATTTTGAGGATAAAAATATTTAATGTAATTAATTATAATACATATAATTTTTAGTTAGATATATCGGTTGTATATTAGTAGTAGAAATGATATAAAATGGGAATTGAGACCATAAAGATTTGTTTTAAATGTATGTAACACGCTAATGGGTGTCACAGGCCGCATTATGCATATATATTTATTCTCAGGTCGATTACTAGATTACTAGAGGCTGAGCTAGAGACTCATCTGGATGCCATAGTCAAGGTTTGAAATTTGCATATCATTAAAAATGTTCAGCTAAAGGAAAAGAAAAGAAAAGTAATTCAACAATTAAGATCCCATGGGCTTTACCCATACCGCAGCTGATGTGATGTGGGTGAGTGCGAGTATGTGTTTGTGCATATGTTTTTTGCTATGTATGAATTCAGTATATTCTACTCATCCCATATGGTATTTGATATTTTAATAAGTAAATAAAACTCGGAACTAAAAGTGGGATAGGAGCTAAGCTAATAAACCTAAAATTTGCATAGATTTATTATTTCCTGATAGGCAGCTAAAGCTTTAAAGCAAACGTACTCTACCTTAAAGTTAGTCTGTCCTAATCTAAACAGTAAACATTTTGAATCATTAATACTTAGGCACGCCGAGTTTAGTAAACACGCTTATGCTTCATTTATAGCATTATATTTGGTGCTCCCCTCAAGGCGAAGCTAATTTTCTAGCAATAAAATACTTAAACAACCAATAAAAGTCAAGTACTTAAATATTATAGCAACTCAAAGAGTTAAATTGCCAAAGGTGCTTAAGAATTTTCATCTTAAGAAAAACCAAATGCTAAGAGGAAAATTCGTACAATATATAACACATATATGTACATATATCTATTCATTTCTACAGACCTCGCCAGATGGGTCTCAGTGAACCAAAAGAATTCCGTTAGTCCTAGACTAGCGCAGCGCTTTATTGTTGTCATAGTCGAAGGTCGTCGTTGGATTTGGCTAAAAATAAATAGGTTAATATCTTGCAAATATATACGATGCTAAAATTAAAAACAATAATAACAAACATTAAAGAGAAATAAAACAATAACATATACATTCTTGAAAATACATCTAAGAGCAAAATGTATTGGAAATGTGAGTTTAGGGTATATTGGTTTGGCTGTAGTGTATGTAGGGTATGCGGGTAGAGTAAGACATTTCCCCAAGGGAAATTTCCTTTTATTCCTGAACAGGATTAACAATTGACTTGATATCTATCTATCTCTTTCTTCCATATTTATTTTGCTTCAAGCTCCTGCACAGTCGCATAGACCCCACACATTTGCTGTAGTGTAGCGCTGGCATCAACCCCAAAGCGTTGCCCTTTGCTGCCGCCCCCCTCAGCTGGTTTGTGGATTGCCGTAAAGCAACAAGCTGTACGGCCGTGAGTAAAGCATATTCTCGCTGTTTGGGAGAGCATTTCGCCAAGTTGGCCAAATTTGATGGTTGTGTGATTTGTTGTGTTGCGCTCGCGTGTGCTGCGCATGCGTGAAACGATGACGTCACGTGGGAAAACTTGCGCTCTGCAGTTGGGAGCGCAGCTGATTGTGTTGCCAACAAGCGCACATGGCGATGGCGATGGCAAAGGCAAAGGCAAAGGCAAAGGTAATGGAAATGGCGATGGCGATGGCGTTGGCGATGGCGTCGCTGGCGACGTAGCCGTTCAGCCAGGGTGCATGCCAATAATCATATTCATTCGTTTATTTGGCTAGACTCAGTGTGTACCTCGGTTGCGCTGCGCGGCTCGTGCTGCACTTTGTCTCTGTGTGAAACGAAATTCGACGGACTTTTGCTGCCACTACTTCCGTTTACGTTACGGGCTTTTGGCCTAAACAACAAAGTTGTAGTCGAACGCGCTAAAATGCTAGCAAATCTAGCGACGCTAGCTGCCCCCAACTGAACTTCGAGGCGAGTCCGTTGCCCATGAGGTCGCTGCGTACGTTGCCCTAAGTCCGGAAGTGTGTTGTCCTGGCAACTGCAGTGGGCAGAGGGCAGGGGGGAGAGGGCCGAGGACTGAGCACAGTGTAATCCCATTGAAGCGCATCTCACAGATGAATGCTGCTCAGGCGGAAATCACAGGTATGTTCTAATTATAAAGGCAATCAAATACTTTAGTACAGATACTTTATTATTTCATAATTAAATTATATTAACTCACATGCAAATATTTAAAGGATTTTTTGCGATCTGCAGACTATTGATTTTAGTTGCCCACTGCCGGCTAAAACTCAAGGAATAGTCTCATATTTCTTGCTGCCATTAGTTCCTGTGTGTGCGTGTGTGTGTGTGTGTGAGTGTGTGCTTGTTTGTGTTTGTTTATGTGTGTGTTTGCTCTTGTGTGAATGGATTTGATGCCATGGCAATTGCATTCCGCCACCTTGGCGTCTCTCTGCTTTGGGATTCGCTTAAAGTTCACAGTTTTATTAAGTTTTCCATTTGAGAGCTGAAATTTTCTTTGTGCTTCGTTCTGCTGACCTTTGGCAGGAATCATGTATACCTTATATATATATAAATACTATATACATTTATATATATTTGAGAGCTTAAAATGGTATTAGCCAACTCTTTCTTCTAACTGCTTTACCTTACTATATATAAATCTCTATAATATATTTTGTTATACAAATTAATCTCTATAAAATATTCTCTCATATAAATCGATCTCGATTTCAGCCTTCTATTAAAATGTTTTCTTACTTCAACAAGTTTTATGTACTCATCAAATTTCTCATTAATTGTTAGCATTTTGATTGATTTACCAATGCCTACGATTATTATATGGCCACCTGAGCTTCGCATAATTAGACGTTATCAAATGATATCGACGCAATTAAACATTTCGTTAATGTCTTTTGGAATTTATTTACCTTTGGCCAGCTGTGGGCTTTGGCATTGTTACTGTACTTAATCGACCGTTGGCCATATGCTCAAATGTCCAGAACCTTTCCCCCCATTGGCTTTGCCACTCAAATTACAATGCAAACAGTGGGTGGCTGGTGCGATAAGCTTGACTGTTCCTATTCCAGTAGAGTGGTTAATAATGAAGCGGAAGTTTACACTGGCTGTCAGTCAGAAATTATATATATGCATAGTTATTATAAATTTCGGGTTATTGCGATTAACATACACATCAATCAGTTGTATTTTTTGTTAGTCTGTAAATAGCTGACGATATTCCTTTCCCTTGATTGATGTAGATATTAAAGACAGGACACTAGATTGTTTTGCTATGGGTTGAAAAAGTCTGATATCAGCTGAACTGCGCATGCTTAGCTAATTTAATTAACATTCCCAAGTTGGCATAATAAACCAAATTAATTATATTACAATTAAAATTATTTTTTTTTTTTTGAGTTATAAACTSAGTGCAAACTTAATTAATAAATCAGGCAGAGCGTGCTTCAACTATAAATTTATATAATTCCATCATCATAAATATCTTCTTCTTCTTTCTATATCTGACATATAAAATTTTCCTTCGCTGCTTTATATATTGCGCTTTAATATCATTTAATATCTCAAATTGGACTCTTCATGATCGTAAACTGCATAAATTTATTAACTGCTTGAACATTATTTGGTTGCCATATTTTCCGGTACTGGTTGTGGAAAATTTCCAATCAATCGCCTGGGCAAATAAATTAATAAAATTTTCGCATAAATTCGACCTAATCATTGAGCGCTAACAAAGCAAACTCAAATTAATTACCAAAATTAGTTGCCTCCCAAAAAAATAAAGGAACACATACAAAAA